AACAAGTGAGTTTTCATGTTTTGGTAGTCATTATAATAAATATGTGTAATATTATTTAAAGCTCAAAAAAGTACAGAAAAATGTTGTGCTTTACCAACAATGCCCACAGTTGCTACATAGATACCCGCCAACTAAACATGCAACATTTCCACAACATTACTTTTTGGTTCTCATTTGCCTTTTTAAAAAACATCAAAGAAACATTCTTCTTAGGTTACATTTTTTGCAACCATAAAATTCCTGCTGTCAGCGTATATTGAAGTCAGAATTATTAGCCCCCTTCAATTTCTTTTCTTCTTCTAAAAAAAAAATATTTTCCAAATGATGTTTAACAGAGCAAGGAAATTTTCACAGTATGTCTGATAATATTTTTTCTTCTGGAGAAAGTCTTATTTGTTTTATTTTGGCTAGAATAAAAGCAGTTTTTAATTTTTTAAACACAATTTTAGGGACAAAATGATTAGCCCCTTTAAGATATATTTTTTCTTGATAGTCTACAGAACAAACCATCGTTATACAATAACTTGCCTAATTACCCTAACCTGCCTAGGTAACCTAATTAACCCAGTTAAGCCTTTAAATGTCACTTTAAGCTGTATAGAAGTGTCTTGTAAAATATTATATACTGTCATCATGGCAAAGATAAAATAAAACAGTTATTAGAGATGAGTTATTAAAACTATTATGTTTAGAAATGTGTTGAAAAAAATTTGCTCTCCGTTAAACAGAAATTGGGGAAAAAATAAACAAGCGGTCTAATAATTCAGGGGGGCTAATAATTCTGACTTCAACTGTAGGTTTTTTTACTGGGCACCTCTGATTTGCAAATATTTCTTTAGCTTGAGCTCCACAGAAAGATGTGTAATTGTGTACTTTTAAATAAAAATCATTTCCTTTTACTTGTATACTGACTAACAACTGCTTATCGGTCTCTTTCTGAATAATCATCTAAATTAAATAAATAAATAAAAGAATCATAAACCTGTACATTTATTCTACAGTGCATCCGGTAAGTAGCGCTTCAATTTGTACACATTTTTATGTTATAGCCTTATTCCAAAATGCATTAAATTACACACAATACAATGTAAAAAAAGATTTTTTTAAATTGTTGCAAATTTCTTAAAAATAAAAGAAAATGTAAAAAATCACATTTACATAAGTATTTAAAGCCTTTGCTCAATACTTTGTTGATTCACCTTTAGCAGCAATTACAGCCTCAAGTCTTTTTGAACATAATGCCACAAGCTTGGCACACCTATCTGAATGAACTGTATATTTATTTAGCCGACTCGGTGGCACAGTAGGTAGTGCTGTCGCCTCACAGCAAGAAGGTCGCTAATTCGAGCTGTGGCATCTCTGTGTAGAATTTGTATGTTCTTCCCACGTTCGCGTGGGTTTCCTCCGGATGTTCCGGTTTCCCCCACAGTCCAAAGACATGCGGTACAGGTGAATTGGTTAAGTTAAATTGTCCGTAGTGTATGAGTGTGAATTCGTGTATATGAGTGTTTCCCAGAGATGGGTTGCTGCTGGAAGGGCATCCGCTGTGTAAAACATGTGCTGGATAAGTTGAGGGTTCATTCTGCTGTGACGACCCTGGATAAATAAAAGGACTAAGCCGAAAAGAAAATTAATATCGAAAAGAAATTAAACTAATGCACTTCTCTGTTTCATAATTTAAAAGTGAAGTCATTTAATTTTACTGGTTAACTGACTAAGATGCTTTTTATTTAATAATTACTAAATCCATTCAGATATTTTTGACGGTGCTCCTATAAAGTGATGGACCAAATAAGACCATAAGTTCCAAATGTGAAAGGCATATGTTATACGTTGTCATAAAATTTATTGGTAAAATAATTTATTTTATTGATTTCTTGAATGTCAATAAATAATGCAGCACATGAGAAGAGAAAGTAAATTTCGTCTATTCCTGTTGATATAACTCAAATGCCAAACATTAGCAAACATTGCCCTTTACCAGAGCTTCTGTTTACACTTGGTTCAAAATAATAAATGCCCTTACAACCAGGTTTTAGTAAAATTGTAATACCTTGTAATCATCACTTGTAGCGGCCTCTGCGGCTCCAAATGTGACTTTGTTTGCCCATGTGCCTTCACCTTCAGGACGGTTTTCATTGCTGCCTTGTTCACTAGACCAGCGGTCACCAACTGTACACTTTCCATACATGTTGTTTTCATGAACACTGGCCACCAGCGTCCAGCCGCCGCCTGCAGTGGTCATGTCACAGAACGTCTGGTAAAGGACTCCTCTTGAAGAGATCAGATAGTACAGGCCATCTGTGTGTCAACACAAGCATTCCTCAGTCACACACATGCAGATGCTGTCTAACATTACAAATAAAAGATATAGAATGAGATCATACCCTCATAAACATAGTACTTGTCACGGATTTCTTTGCAGCTTCGAGCAACATATTTAATTCTGTCCAGAAGTTTTTCAAGTTCATGGTTGCTGTTGGAGTCACTGATGTTAATACATGGTGTTTCTGTTTCTTGTATTACATACATGGCCCCCACTGTAGAATGAACATTAAAATAGTAAACAATGCTTTAACTGTATTGTGACTGTGAGACAGGATGACAGATAAAGATAATATTTTTAAAGTCATATTTCAACAAGAATTCAATTTCACTCTCAACCATTGGCTTAGTCCCTGAATTATCAGGGGTTGCCACAATGCAATGAACCACTAATTACACTGGTGCGGCAAATGTAGCACTGGGGAACATCCGTCTCATTGACATACATTGTATGGGCAATTTTGTTTTACCCAATTAAAATATACCACATTTCAAGAGTTCACACTTAGCTGATGATTTATCTTAAGCTTGTTTGGCATGCTGTCCCAGGAGAGAGCTCTGAGCTCAAGGAATCCTCGAGCCCAGGGCAACCTCCCGAAGCAGAGCGAGAGGGGAGATTGAGCTCAGGAACATCTCAAGAACTCCCCAGCTTAAGTAGCTAAGGTAAACTTTGAGCAGGAAGTTAGCTAGAAAAAGTGCTTGTTTTGCTTAGTCTGTTATGTATGAAGTATATCTTTTGATGGTGGGAAGAAACCAGAGAACCTGGGGGAGACCCACGCAGACAAGGGGAGAACATACAAATTCTGCACAAAAAGGACCAGAGCCTGCAGTGTTTTAGCTGTGGGGCTAACAGTGCTATCCACTGGGCCGTCGTGCTGCCCAATCTATGAGAAAAAAAGAGGGAGGAAGGGGAGTTTCTTCCAGAAGAGGGTAATTGTGGAATGAAGATTGTGGTTATTTATAGTAACTTAGGAATCATATAATTGGAGGATTATGATTAGCTATTACAGGACCAGCTGTGGTAGATCATATGCACGTGGGTTTCACGTCTTTGGAATAGGATAAACAGGAGGAAACCCACACTAACAACAAGGGGAGAACATGCAAGCTCCACACAGAAATGCCTCCTGGCCCAGTCTTGGACAGGAACCAGCAACCTTCTTGCAACAGTGCTAACCACCGAGCCTCTGTGCCACCAACAAGAATTCAACTGCAATCAAATAAAATAGTTACACTTACTTGATTTTGCATCACAGAACCATAAGCCCAATGACAAAATGAGGATCCCTGAAAACATTTTTGCTAGAAAGACAACCTGGATATCAAAAAGGGGAAGCTGTAAGAGACAAAGACTAACATCTAAAATCTTAGTACAAACAAATCTATGTTACTCATCACATCATGTCTTGATTTAATTATATTCCACATGTATTATCAAACTATATTCTGAATAAACAGTCAATTTTATATTCCAGAATCTTAACAAAGCAGCACATCGATTTACCATTTCTATGAGCCAGTGGTAAATGGGTTTTGTGTTTATGTCTATTTATAATGTTCTCTTCACTGGCTAATTTATGAATAACTAGAGTTTACAGCTATAGATATAGATAAAAACACAATATGCATCCTTAAAATATGACATTTAAGAGTTATCTATTGATTTTATCAGACATAGATTATAAACTGTTTGATGGATTCTCGTCAAACCTGAATGAATTTCCTTCTTCTGCAGGATAAAGTTATTCTGTCAATACAATGAAAGTTAAAGGGTTCAAAGGTTAAAAGTCTATTACGTGTTGTCTTAGACTTTACATTCATTCATTGTGTGAAAAACAAATTCATACAGTTACAAATAAAAATGTTAGGGAAAGTTATTTTTTAAAAGTAATACAGTATATTACAATCTTGTTTTAAAAAAGTAACTAATTTTTCATCTGGGCTTTCATATTGCAACAAAAGCAACCATTAATTTATGTTGTGTTTTATTTTTATTAGTTTATATTTTATTATTGCTCATTTTATTACTTTAATCATACAATCATTTATCGTAAGTAATTTATTTTACTATAATTTTATTGATTATTAGCTGACAGTTAATCATCTGATTATTAACAATTTAAATATTTTTCATTCATTCATTCATTTTCTTTTCGGCTTCGGTTCTGTCAGTAATAATACACAAAATCATCCATGTCGATGTCACCCTTTTACACTAAAGTGAATTGTGAAGTGAAGTTCGGCTGAAGGAAATATAAAATTACGTCTGTACAGTTGAAGATGCTGCTTAAACAAACTATCCAGCAATGCTGCATTTCCAACCCAGGCTCATTCTGAAAACATACCCCTATATAAATTTCTTGTGAGCACCCAGGAGGTATGTATTATTAAAACGTATAGTTTTTGTTTTCTCTCTCGAGTGCCATTCGTGCCTGCTCTTCTTGCATAAATCCACCAGAGGCCACCGTCGACTGACTGACTGATCGACTGACCCACCATCCTCCTTCCCTAAACCTAACCGCAGTGTTTTTAAAAGCAATTCAGAAAAAGCAAAGCAGCCTGATTTTTACCATGTTTATAGATTTTACCCAATTCTTATACTGTCATTTACTTGTTTATTAAGTTTTTGGCTTTTGTTTTTTGTCTTACCTGCTTTCTGGAACCTTTCTTCACAGAATTTAAACCCTACTGTCGCAGTCAACTCCACGTCACAAGTTGGCCAACATAAGTGGCGAGCCACTTGACGAACTGGTGATAGCGGAAAAGCGGTCCACACGGAGGTAAGCAGTCAGCTGGTAAGTGCGAAAAGGAACGGCGTTATACTGCCCCGAAACATTCGATTAAAAGATGTAATGCAGTTATACATATTTCTAGCTATATAATTTGTGATCTCCAGAAATGTATATAGGGCTGCTTTTTCAGAATGAGCCAATGTTATGTATTTCTGGATTTCATGAAGAATATGATGCATGAACAAAAACTTCAGCAATTAATATTTATATTTAGCATTGAATTTTATTATATTTAAGTGACACTGTATCTGTTTCTGCACTTGTTCCTGATTTCTCTCAACAATAGAGCTATAAGTTAATAAATCAGAAAATAAAGTAATTAACGTAAACTTTTTAAAAAACTTTCTTGCAAATGAAAAAGAAATGCATTAGTTTATTAGTTATTTGAAAACATTCCATTATTTGAAAACAAAAAGTTATCTGACAACATTACTCTTGAACATACTTGTAATGTGCTCCACTGTTCATTTATACATTTAAACATTTTTTTAGTCTTCCAAAAAAGAAAACCAAACACAAAAGTTTCATATGTAGGCTAAATATAAGGTTTTGAGGTAATAACCTAATCGTTTAAATGTTTCACTGGTTCTCTATTCTAAAGAAAAACATTCTCTGTCTATAGTAGTTGCTCTTTTCTTATCAATGGCTTATTTATAAAAGCAGCACATCCTTAATTAAGCTATACAGATGAAAGGTTATTGAGAGAAGTTGTGCTTTCTGATAATGGTTTTCAAGGATTTTGTTCTCAAGGTTCAGATTGATAAAAAAAATGGTGCTATAAAACATCCTTATCATTTCAGATTGTCAGTGATCCATATTTTATATGTCAATAGTCCACATTCTTGGTAACACACTGGGCTTTAGTTAAGCAACATCCAATGCTTTAATAAAAAAAACTTGGAAAGAGGATTATCATCAGTGCTGTGTAGTAAATCCATAACACTGAATAAACTCTAAAGTTCCACATTTTCAAAACAATTTTTGTTTATGGTTGTGCATTACTATCACAACAATAGAATTATTATTATGACCATTATTATGACCATTTATGTGAAGCTGCTTTGACACAATCTACATTGTAAAAGCGCTATACAAATAAAGCTGAATTGAATTGAATTGAAAAATTACCACACACATCAATTCATATACTTGTTATACTTACTTACTACTTACTTACCATAGTATGGTGTGTGTGCGATTGTGTGTTTGAGACAGAGAGAGTGAATGCTCATATGAATGGATGAATATTCAATTGGCTAATCAGTAATCTAAATTAAAAATACAACATGCCAAAGTAAGATCTAATTACTGTGGAAAATGCTTGACAACTCCGTTGCTCAGGATACTTTTATGAGACAGCTCCAGCAAGTACATCACAACAAGTCTCTTCTTAAAACTCTGATATACTCAAGTTTCAGCGATAAAAGAGAAGCACAGCTGCTTCAGTTATCTCTCTGGAAGCACTCCATTCTGTATTAGTACCATAGCCATTCCAGTCAAAACCCGTAAAGTCTCCACATTGTTTAGGGTAACCCTCAGGAAAGTGTCCGCCTCCACCAATACAAAACTGCAAGAATACAGTAGGAGTGCATTACTTACAACACAACATATACCCATGCATTTCTCTATATGACATTGGTGCAGTTGATTTAATGCATGACTTATGTTGTTGTATGTTGTTTGCTGTGTACAAATGTTGCTGTAAATAATCCATTGTGATTTATAACTCACATGCTCAGTGTTACAGTCAGTTGGCTTAGCCCCAGAGCAAAGTGCCATAGCTGCCTTTTCATTATTTAAGACTCTGAATGTGATGAATCCAGGCTCAAATTGTGCTGAAAAAACACAGAGAATATATTATTAATGATGTCATAAAGTTTTCTTTCAATTCATTCGAGTAACCAGATTAATGTGTCAGCTTAAAAAGCACTAGAAGAGGTTCTGTCCTACTTCTTGCACTTGGACCATACAGTTTTTTGGTAGATTCTTCATTTCCAGTATCATACACGATCGGGACAGCAGGTCCATTATCAATGTTGCAGGAGCCGATTCCAAACCTCACAGGGAATTTCTGGGAAATGCAGTTAAAAAAGATTCATTAAGTGTTTTTTTTCCCACACAAAATTCAAAATGGCTAAATTTCAGTTAATGTTTCCAACTAAAAGTGGTGTCAAAGGTAATCTTACCGTAAATAACTTGAATAGGTTTCCTCCGTGTAGGGTTAAGAAGTGATTTTCAGTGTGGTATCTGAGAATGGAGCCAGTGCTCCAGTGTTCCAACTCCATATTATTAGGCACATGCCACACAGAAACATCCTGAGCTGCAATGTCATAGTATCCCGGATTCTGTCAAGTCAAGTAACAATAATTCATATAATATTCACCTCTTTAAAAGTGTCATTATTTAATTTATATGGATTCAATTTAGTAATCTCAATCTAATCTATTTTATTTCTGAATATTGGTAAATAACAGAATACAGATTTTATATGATTCTATTTCTAGATAAACTTTTTAGATTGTGAGTGCATTATTGTAATACCTTGTAATCATCACTTGTTGCGGCCTCTGCGGCTCCAAATGTGACTTTGTTTGCCCATGTGCCTTCACCTATAGGCCGGTTTTCATTGCTGCCTTGTTCACTAGACCAGCGGTCACCAACTGTACACTTTCCATACATGTTGTTTTCGTGAACACTGGCCACCAGCGTCCAGCCGCCGCCTGCAGTGGTCATGTCACAGAACGTCTGGTAAAGGACTCCTCTTGAAGAGATCAGATAGTACAGGCCATCTGTGTGTCAACACAAGCATTCCTCAGTCACACACATGCAGATGCTGTCTAACATTACAAATAAAAGATACAGTATGAGATCATACCCTCATAAACATGGTACTTGTCACGGATCTCTTTGCAACTTCGAGCAACATATTTAATTCTGTCCACAAATTTTGCAATCTCAGGGTTGATGCTGACATCATCAATATTAGTAGATGATGTTTCTTGTTGGTTTGCTACAATGTGAAAGATAAGGACATGGTGTAATAAAAAAACTGATATAAAAATTGACATACCAATCTTCAAGTCTTAACTTTTATTTTTGATAAATTACACTTACTTTGTGCAGTGTTACAGAACCAAAAACTCAGTGAGAGGATGATGAGTTCTGAAAACATGTTTTATTCCTGCCAATAGCAACAGGGAAATTTTTTTTTAATTTGTTGTTTGTGAACAAAGACAACAGTTTGCTATTCTGGTGACACTGAATTGTTCATTGAGAAAAATATTTAGCTTTGAGAGGATTTTGAGAGCAGTTACTGTTGTTTGCACTAGTTGTTTAAAAAAAATGCAACAAAAATGTTATGCAGATTATTTTATCATAAAATAAGATATCAGCTTGATTGACTATTTCCTCTGATTTAGCAGATAGCCTTTAAGCGTCCTTTTTTGTTGTTCCCCTCCAGCAATAAAAAACATGAAAATAAAGAACACATTAACAGCACCTCTGCAATAACAACCTATTGATAAAGTAAATGACTACTAGACATATCTATTTTATCATGTATTTAAAAAAAAAACATAAACTTAATGTTTCTCATAAACTTTGTGATTTCACTGTCACAAGTACTGTTCATAAACGTGATTGTTAATAATCCAAAATTTGACTTTACATTTTCCAGTTACAGTTGCTTTGACGTTTCTCAAAGAAAATTGCAAACCAGTAGGCCCATACATTTCTTGAAACTTCATACAAACAGCACCACACAGTGGATTACTTGTAAACAGCTGTAACTTGCTCAGATGAAACCAAAGAGCTCTGTAGTGTGAAACGCCAAAGCCAGCTATTACAGTCATTTGATCTGTTATAAACAGACAACAAACGTTTTGGTGTTTGTGGTCATGCAGGCACATTTTGGAGAAAGAGACGGGAAAAAAAATAAAGCTGTCACATTATTTTTGTTTTATAAAGGCACTGAAGTCTGTGTATGTTTATCTTTTATATTATATAATAGACTTTTTTTCTGAAGCTCTAAGACCCAAATTCTAACAAAATCAACATTTTTATTTTTAATTAGCTTGTTTCAAATTAGAATATATTTTTTTTACTTTAAAACATGCATGTTTCATTTTTCAATTGTATGTGTGAACATATATATATATATATATATATATATATATATATATATATATATATATATATATATATATATATATGTGTGTGTGTGTGTGTGTGTGTGTGTGTGTGTGTGTGTGTGTGTGTGTGTGTGTATATTTTTTGTTAAAAACCAACATTTGTCTTACTGATACATTATTATCAAACAACATTTAAATTAGTTTTAGTTTTTAGATTAGATTTAGGAATTAGGATATATTTTTGATTGTATTACATTTGTTGGCTAATACAATAAACAAAGGAAGGGCAGGAGGAGGCATGCGGGACCCTGACCAGGCTTAAGACAAAAACTTAACTGTTCGAGAGCAGAACCGTTTTAAATTAAGTTAAAAAACCGTTGATTGTTGTCTTCAAAAGAAACATATAGCATAAAAAATAACAGTGGAATAAAATGTGGAAAAAATCCTCAGAGATCGATGGGGAACAGCTCGAAATGAATTTCTCTTTGAAAAAGTTTTGTTTACTTCCGGGACCCATGAGTGGCGCTGGCCAATAAAATTCCTCTTTATTCTCAGGTCAGGAAATCCGACGTTTCTAGGACAACGAGTCACAAACAACTGAGCGCCGTGTATTACACTTTGTCTGGTTAGAAACCCTTATACCGCACGGAGCTGAACAAAAACTTCCAGCACACCTTTAGGAATGGTAAGTGTGACAGATTTTTTTGTTCATTGAACGAAGAGTCTGTTGAACAAAATAGTTAAAAGTAACCTTAGTGTACAGATGCCACAAATATAAACGCAAATAGTGTGGGATTTGTTAACGTACAGAGGTTAAAAGCGACCGTCTCTTTGCAGTCTTTTACAAGTCAACGGCGCAACATCTCTCACAACCACCATCAGAAGATGATCCTGGAGCACCGCAAACAGGAGGAAAGGCGTGAAGATCACTCCAAACGCGTCGTTAAAGAGCGGCAGCTTGAAGCCAACCTTAGCTGCGAAGACAGAATCGAGAGAAAGCGTCTCCTACGCAAGCTGCAAGATGAAGAGTATGGCAAACAAATCGAGGAATCACTTCTCAGGGTTAGTTTCATTACATATGCTAAAAGAGTCTCGTTTTGTTTATTTGTTAGAATTCATTATGGATTCCCAGTAGCTGTACCATATAGCACTTCCTGAGTCGGTCCACATACATATTTAAAATATTAAACAAACAAGAACATAGTTGAATCAATAATAGGGATGTAACGGTATCAGAATTTCACGGTACGGTAATACCTCGGTATCAATGTCACGGTACGGTATTTATTGAATCATTTACAGGAAAAAACAAAACTTATGAAAATACTCCAAAAAAGTGCCAAAAGTGTCAATGACATACAAATTAGCCCTCTATCTGTTAGCTTTGAAACAGGAACTTCAATTTTAATAACAAAAAAAATATTAAACCATGTAAAAAAAAATTTAAGTTTTTAATTTAGTATTGTTGAAAACTCATCACATTCAACATTTAATCACTCACTCACTTAGATAGAGATGGGTTTAAAGGAAAATTATCATATAAATATAATCTGGTAAAAGCTGGTATCTCTGGGCATTTACAATGTCCCCTGCAACAGAAAAAAAACCTCTCATTTGGTACTGAGGTTTCTGGGACAAGAGAGATATGACTTATATGACTTATTTCTCGAGCGCTGAAAACGGAGCGTTTCGAAAACGCTGGAGAGGCCGTTTTCATTCTGAAACCTGCTGCTCCGTCTCAGTGTGGATGGGGAAAGACGGACACATCTGAAAACGGAGGCGGGGCTGCAAACGTTCGCCTATCTGATTGGGGCTTTTCCTCACTATTAAGTAGCCCACACACAGTTCAGTCTCGCATCCTCTTCTTGTAAGTTAAGACTTCGCAAGTTTGATCAAGGCTGCAGTCTCCCCCTTCTCAGTTTGATATGGAAAACAGACTATACCGAGGACACGGGTAAATCTTCAAAGGGAACAGTGTACTTTATAACTTCATTCACATCACCTTGGCTACGTTGTTTCACTTTCTCAACAATAAAATGTAAACATGATTTAAGGAACTGCCTATTTCCTTTTTAATATTAGAAAACTTAACAGACAGCAGAAATGTTGAGGCGCCGTGCTGCATGAGCGTCATCTTCACTTTGTAGATATTTATAACAAAACGGAGCCCATAACAACTGTTTCCTTTCAATTTCAGTGAAAATACGAAACACACCCTTCTCTTTTGCTGAATATCAGTTTTAATAATCGACAATTATAAAAGTATAACATACAATAAGTTTATACATTGTAGGAAATAAAGGCAAGCGATCAGTCAATGTACCTGGATTAATCATTAACTTATCTTTGCGCTTAACCAAAACATGTTACCCGTGAACAAGTAACTTAATAGATTCCAATGACCAAAGTCAGGGAATTGGCCTATGTCGTTAGATAAAGACAACAACATGAATGAAATATCACGTTTAGCAAATATAGTGAGATTAGATCCAGCGGGAGATGCTTGATGAGCAGTCCGACAAGCAGAGCTCTCATCTGGGTAGAAATGCTGGAGCGCTTGCCCGAGAGTGTCTGTGGTCACGTGATGTGCGTTTTCAGCGTTTTGGTGTGGACGGAGAGCTGTTCAGAAACGCTGGGTAAAACGCGAGTGTGGACGCGGATCGTTTTCATCCTACAACGCCGTTTTAAAACTAAAACGCACTCTTGTAAAAGGGCCCTTAGAGTTTTACAGCTCTTTTTGATCCCCGCTTCTAGCAGCACACTCCATTTCCGCATTACTGGATATGTAGCGACAACAGACGGCAAGGGATGATGGGGATTGTAGTTTTCGCTACCTCCCGTTCGCTTCATTCGCCTGAGCAAATTTTCTCAGAAGACCTATAGTTTTACCGAGTCATGCGACTTCGGTAATATCGAAAAAAATTAATATTGCGGTATGACGGTATTTACAATACCGTTACATCCCTAATCAATAACCATGCGTTTAAAAACACATAACTATTAAACATACAATTAGGGATGATCAGATTAGAATTTTTAGCCGATACCCTGCACCGATTCTGATGCATTACGCTTTACAATGCATAAGCACATTTTCAGTCCAAGTATAAGCTTAAGACACATAAGATACTAAACCATTTAGTCTGGACATGTCATGGTCAGGAGCAACTTTACAGATGAAAACCGATTTTAAAAATTGGCAAGAAAAAACACTAATAAAGCAATTTGGAAACATTGCAAATCATGGAAGAAGAATTCATCATGTCTCATTGAAGTATGGAGCGCATATTTGATGCATAAGGAGTTAAAAGGCACATCTATAATCCATTACTTCTTTACTAAAAGGAAATAGGTCCATAAACTACTGCTTATTACAATACAAATTTTCTACAATAAGTTATATGACTTTAGGAAAAAAATGTTTGTTTTTTTAATTACCTAATTTTTCCAGCCAGGATTAAATGAACTTGCAATATTGCTGAAAACAGAACATTCAGTTCTGATATGTAAAAATATTTCAGTTCTTATGTGTCCTCTGCTTGTAAACTCGTAAACAAACAATTGGGATCGGTTCATGAGATCAGCCAGATTAGCAAGTACCAATCTAGTCATGAAACGTGATTATCGTCCGATACGGTACTCTGGCTGATCGATCGGAGTATCTCTAATTACCATGCCAGTTAAGACGTTATAATGTTCTATTTATATAGCACTTTTTCCTAAAGCACTTTACACACATTTTTTTGAAGGGTGAATCTCTTTAACCAGTGTTCAGAATCCACCTTAGAATGTGAATGCAATCATAGTGTGCCAGAACATCACCAGTCATCAGCATGGTGGAGAAGAGACAAAGTAGATAATATGGTGAGGAATAGAACACCATGATCGTGGGCAGAGGCCAGTGGGCAAACGTTATTTACATATTTTGCTTTTACTTCAAATTATACTTACATGTGATAATAATAAATTGTAACTGACTGTTTCCCCCTGAAAAATGTATGTTTTAGGCAGAAGAGGACAAATTATTCAGAGAGAGGCAGCTTGAACAGGAGGAGAGGATGGCCAAGGAGCTGGCAAGAATTAATAACGAGAAACTTCGAGATGAGAAGATGAGGCAGTATATTAAAGAGAACAGGTATAAGTCATGATAAAATCAAAATGTACTCTTTTATTTTCTTATGTCAATTTGCTGTTCTAGAGGTAAGCAATTAATCATTGTCTTGGCCTACTCATCCAAACCTGAAATCAATGCTTCTTGATTTTGGATGGCATGTTCTCTGATGTCAGTTTGATAAAATGGGCAGTGCACTAAAACAAAACAGCTTACTATTAGATATTCTGTTTTACTTTTACATTTTATGTGGACTGTTCTGTATAATGTTTAGAATTTACTACATTTGTTGTTTCATTTGCAGTGTTGAGCTCCGAGAGCTGGAGTTAAAGCTCAAGTCTGCTTACCTGAACAGAGAGCGGGCAGCACAGATGGCAGAAAAAGAAGCGATGCGATATGAGACATTGGTGAGTGTGAACTCCAAATATCTTGCTTTTAGGCATATTTTCTTGTGATGTTATTTGTGAATCAAGTGTATTAGTGCCTGATCACTTTTTCAGCAGTGCTTGTTCTGTAAGAATTTTTCTCATAGGATTTTTTAGAAAGTAAGAACAAATTATCAATATTTATTTAGGATAGCCATCTCGAAGTACATGGCATGGGTTCAGTGGAGTCATAAGGGACCCACAAACATTTTGTACTGTTTTAGTTTACCACCACTAATGTAATTGAGGTTTCTCTTATTGTCACAGCGGTGCTCTGTATGTTAATGCAGTTCTATTGTCTGAGATGGTTCTCAGATTCCTGTTCCTATTCTAAATTTGGTTACAACTTGCTCATGATGTGATCATCCCAAATGGCACAAAAACAAAATCATTCACATTTAATCTTCTATAATAATTTAGCCATTTTAGAAAATGAGCATCAACATACTTTTATTGTAGAGTGGAATATCTGTCTGGACAGACAATAGTTTCTTACAAAAGTGTTTGTGAAAGCATTATAAGTCATGAACCAAACAGCCAGATATAGGTTGAATCACAAAAAAAAAAAAATAAAGTTTGATTTGAAATGGTAAAATGTATTAAAATCAGACAAAAGACACAAGGTAAAACCTAAGAAACAACAACACAAAGGGTGCTTTGAAACTATGAAATGTATGGAAATTAGAAAAAAAGAAAGAAAGAAATTTTATATAAACAGTGGTGACTGTCCAATAGGGGGCGCCCCCACAATATTAATTAGAGAAAAATGCTGTTAATCTTTTACAAATATGTTAATTTTATGTTGAAAAAAAATATTAGAATGTTATTCTAAATATTGTTCAAGAAATACACTGTGCATAAAGTCTTTTTTATTATCTATTGTTTATTATACATTTATTTTTTTATTTGGTTTTAAATGATGGGTTAACTACATACGGCAAAGGGGAAATTATTTGTTTACAAATATACATTGTTCATAATGAAAAATTACTTGTGATGACAACAACATTTTGGATAGTTTAAAGCTAGGCCTACTGTTAAAACAGATACATATTGTAATTGATGTATTAAAGTAAATATCATTCACTAATAAATGGTTTAGTACAGGGTGATTAAAAAAAGAATACCACAACTTTGAAAATCTGTAT